GAACCCTATTCCCAAGCAAACACAAAGTTAACTCTGTTGCCACAAGTTGTTTTGGCAGTGCGCATCTTAGAACTGAATGTAATTTTCTGTCTTACTCCTCCCTCCAACAATTAAATAGGAAGTTTATACAGCATTTCAATTTCCATCTCCAAGGATGACGTTCATCAGAAATCAGAGAGCTTGATTCTTTCAAACTAGTACTACAGACCTTAAAAGGAGGGGGGAGAGAAAGAGAAAGAGAGAGAGAGGCAGGAAGATGCAACGGTCAGAGAATAGAAGCAGGATGTGCCAAGGCAAAAATCCTTTAGACAGGGACTAGGGAAAAGCACTACAAGAAAGTCACCTCTGAACAAAAGCAGCTTGTTTTTTTTACAGTCAATAAATTAGATGAGTTTATATCTTACATTGTATATGTGCATTACTTACAAAGCAGTCAGGGTACACAGCATTTTATTCTAAAATAAATGCTGCGCAGTTACACATTGCTCCTTTTATATACCCTTTTTAACAACTTGAAAGTTTCCAGTGTTATAATGAATGCAATAATGTCTCCTTCATTTTCTCTCTCATCTATATAGTCTAACAGATTTGGCTGCTTTTTTAAAAGTTCTGTGAGAGAAACACTAGCAGAATGTATATTGAAGAAGAGTACACAGCATAGTGGCATAATACTACATTTCTTTAACCAGCTTAGTAAATGCTGCTTTAATCAGTTAAGAGGATTATAATTTCCTATGTAAAAAAAGCACAACCCAAAATCCAAACCTGACAAAATGTGCCTACTTGAAATTGTTGAGCATTTAAATTGTGCAGAATTTTGCTCACCTGATTAATAGGTAGAAAAGGATGAAATTTATGGAGAACGGGTATAACGGGAGAGTAAGTAGAAGCATATACAGGTTCCTATGACAAGGACAGAAGCAAAGCAAAGGAATTAGAAAAGAACTGGACTATCAGAAATGGAGATGGGGGAGACATAACTCATCTTCCCCTAGTTTCTTAAAATGGAGTAAATCTGAATCTTTTAATCTTCTAGAAATGTGTTCCCTATTGGAAAGCCAGAGATCAAAAATGTTGTCACAATACAACAGCATGTTTACCAAAGCCATTCCATGCAGGAATTAAACAAGTTAGTAACAATATCATTGCAACTCAACACAGAACAAAACAGCACAGCCAGAAGATACACTTTTCATATGCTGATAATTCTTCTGTCTCTGTTTTCATGCACCATTAAATTTATGAACCATGTCAGCCACAATGTAAATAATTCTGCTGCAAGTTTAATCTGACCCTGCTAAATAACAAGTCATCTATTTTCTGGATGAAAGAAAAGAACGCTTACTAAAACTGGGATACTCAAAAGCCATCTGGAGGGAATTGCTAAGCCCACAGCACTCAGTGAAGGCAAGTTCACCATTCTATACAAAGCCTACAAATAACCCCTGCCTCAGAGCTGGGCTTACCCAAAGCTCATTAGACATGGCTTTATCATCTATAATTCTTCTTCCTTTCTATAGGTTAAAGCAAATGTGGAACATTGCACAGAATATGGGTAAATGCAGCTCGTTAGAGTGGCTCAAAATGAAGCCTAATCATTAGAGTTTCAGCTTTGATTAGAATGGGATACAAGCACTTGGTGGATATACCATATATGAAATGGATAAAACTATTACCACAGCAAGAGACTAATATTTTGCCTAAAGGTCACTTTTTAAGGTCTTAGCCCCTTTAAGATTTTTACACACTTCATCTCTGAGCAATTTTGAATTGATTGTTCAGCCCTAGCCTTTAACACCAGTGCTGAGCTGTAGTTTGAACTTGCAATAAGAGGTAAGTGCATTTCAAATGTCATTCACTGCTTTAATGTGACTGTAATGCAGCTGGTAATCACATTAATCAGGGACTCTGTTAAAAATGGCTGACTATAAAATAGAAATTTTCATTCCAGTAAATCTTGCTATTTTGATACTAAGGAAAGATTTTAAAGTTAGTTAATTTTTCTACCCATGAAAAAAACCAACAAACTGGAAGTCTTCCAGCCAACCTAAGATGATAGATACAAATATACTAAATCCAAAATATTTTTCCCAAATAAAAGCAATTTTTTTTCCCCAGTAAGATATTCCTCAGTATACAGTTGTTCACCTGATGTTAGGGCTATTCTTTGCCTTGTCCAAGTATGTTTTACCATACATATAAATAATTTAAGAAGTCTCACAGCTTCCAACAAATTTTCCTCCTATGTGCAGCAATCATCAAAACAGATGCTGGACCTCCAAGTAAATCTCAACTTCCCCTCTCATCTGTATCTCCTTGAGTTAATTCCTTACTCCCTTCCCCCCCAATTTGAGGTTGCTCTGTCAGCTTTTCCATGAATTTTATGGTTTCTCTACAGTTTAGCCTACATATAAATGACTATAACACATCTGGAGAAATATCTCACCATGCAGACAAGTGTGCAGAAGCATTTTGACTAGAAGTGATCAAACAGCACTATTTAATGTAACTATTTTCTTAAGAGTATGAATCTTTCAACTTTTGTTGTTTATAAGAAAACTAAATGTACTCTAATAACTTCTATTTTATATAGCTATGCTTCAATAATTAAATCTCCAGAACAAGTTAGATAGCCTTTTAAAAGAGACACAAACAAAAGAAAACCTAAAAAGGTGTCTGACTACATTAACAGGAGTGACATACTGCAACTAAAATCTTCAGGCATTACTTCGAACCAGCAGGGCATGACAGAAGTTTACACGCTCTTGCCATCAACACATGACTGCCATGTGTGGAAATGGTATTTCTACTAGCTCAAAAGACAGTAATCAATACAATTCCTGCATTTTTATTGCAATCCAGCAACAGAAAGCACTAAGATTCTTAAGTACATTGTAGTCTCAAAGCTCTTCTACAAATAGAGACTTCAGTGGCACACTGCTTCATGGTCCTCAAAGGATAATAGCCATCACACTGATTAATTATCAATAATAGTATTTCCAGATTGAAAGGCAGGCAGCTGATGTGTTGTAAGCAGTGTGGTCAACTTAGTAAAGCTTTACATTATTTATCATGTATCACGTAATGAATCATCATCACAAATATCAATACAGTTCAGGGAGTTGTATATCTAATAAGACCAACATTTTTTCTTATACATTCAACATTTCACCCATTGGAAGACATGCAAATCCTTTGATTTAGGCTCTAAATATCCAAGAGCTACCATGAACCAACAGAGTGGGTGACCCACTGTCACAGAAACTCCCACTGCTAGCATTATCACTTCAAAGCTTGTACCGTTAAAGCACTTTATGCTTGCTTACTTTCTTTAAAAGCCTAACTTGTGCTATGCTGAGTGAAGTTGCTGCACATGGTAACACAGCAGGGAGGATATGGGTGCTGGAGCTAGAAGAGAGAACAAAGGTTTTCTCTCTGCCTAAATCTTGGCAGCTGCTTAAAGCTTTTTCTCAACCCCATTGTCTTTAGTTGGAGTACATTTGTTACCTGATCTCAATAGTTGTCATTCTGGAGACTTGCCCATTAAAAATGTGACCAGTTTTGTTTTCCACACTGAAACTATTTTTGCTTTAGGACATCCTTCAAACTAGCAACTGGATTGTTGAGCAAGTCCACAGGGCAAAACCAAAACAAAGCCCATAAACCAAAATGCAAAAATCAGCTTCCTTGTTTTTCTGTCCAGTTAACCCACAACCATTGATAAGTCACATGTTCAGGCACAGATTTATCCTTAATAATGACAGATTGTGTAACAACTCCTTGCTTGTAATATACTGATGGAACAGGAGACTTTTTGTTACTGTTTGCCTATACTATTTAATAGAAGCAGCATTTTCACAACTAAATAATTGGATCCAGAGATTACTGTCCCCACTAGTAAAATTTACAACACAAATTTTATCTTCACTTGTCCTCTGTGAAAATACTCTTTCAAAAATTAAAAGCTTTTGAAACAGCCTATTGTATCTGACACTGTAATTTTCAAAATACTAGACTCAGAAAGGAAGCAAGTCTACATTAGTCCTGTAGTTTGAACCAGCAGTCCATTTTGAAGCAAATCTCCCAGTCATCCTCAGTTTCTGTGCTTTGGTTCACATTGCAGAACGCACAGACTTTTGGATAAAACTAAGCCCTGAAGCACACTCCAGGATTCCCATGTAACACCACGGCTGCTAACGGCAGTCAGGCCACAGAAGCAGACTAAATTTAGCTTGAAGCAAAACATCACTGAAGCAAAACAAGCAAGTATGTCAAAGATAGCAGGTCCTCATCAGTAATCGTTCTGCTTTACAGATCCACTCCAGCTGGGCAACATAACTTACTCATGTATAGACATAGCCAGAGTGTGCTAACAATGTGGACTTCCCTTTCCTCTACACCTTTCCACCCATCTCCCACTCTATTCACTAACACTGACAAGACAGATAAAATCCTTGTCCAGATGGTTTTGGCTATCCACAAACACCAAAGATAACAAACATGCAAGATAACCAAAAGCCAAATGGCTCATGAATGCTCTGGTACCTGCATTTCCTCAGTGTTTCTAAGATCCAAAATTACTGCTCACAAAAAAAAGTATATGAACAGAGAAAACATAGCTTTAGGAATCTGAAATTTTTACAAGCTCACCCATACTAAACAAGACACCTGAACTTAAATGCTTAAGCCAATTTCATTGGGGGGAAAAAACACTTAAATCCTTATACCTATAAACATTCCAGAAGCCTTACAGGCCCACTTACTGGTTCATAATGTGCTGATGTAAAGACACTGTAACCAATATTACACATCCCAAGACAGTGAAGACATTCTCGTTTAAAGAGCTCTCATTGGGAGAATTGTCTTTTAAACAAGCTTGACAACAAGAGGAATAGCAGGAGCTAGTAGCTAATATTAGGCATGCCTGTCTAGTTGGATGCATCTTCAAAAAGCTGAAGCATTTCAAGCAAGATGTTTTTTCCAAACAAGGATAGAGTTACCTTCTTCAACAGCTGCTCAACTTCTTGCATCTGCGCACTACGATCAGTGACAGACACTTTTGCATACTCCTGCTTTTTGCCGAGCCTGCTCTTCCAATCTTCCTCACCACTCTTCTTCAGCAACGCCAACCTAGAAGAAAAAACCATGCCAACAGCTAGCTTTAAACACTGTACTTCCTGTTATCCTCAAAAGCTACCCTTATTGTTTCACTAATGCTGCATTCAAGAAAATTTGAAATTAAGTTTTCTAACATTATAGTTATTTACATTTTATACACATATACAAAGTTCATAAAGTAACATCAAGCCTTTACCAAACATGTTCAATGGGAATCATCTGTCAAAACACAGACATGTAGATTTGAGACAGACACCCCAGTTAATTTGTATAGTCAGTGGAAATTGCCAATACAGTCAAGGGAGACCAAGGTACGATGCAGATCATTGTAAAGTAGACATTTAAATAGGTTAGATTAATCACTGCCTTTTTCCCTCCCTTCTGTCAATGAGGGACAGAGATTGACTAGCTCAGCTATGGATGCTATGGATGTCCAAAGTTAGTATGATGAATCCTACCTTTGGTCTTTATTGTACTTAGTAAAAGATTTTAAAAATCATTTTCTTTAAAACCCAAGAAGAAAGAGGTGTGTTCCATAGGCACCCACCAATTAGGTCTCATCAGGCACAACAAATGACAACTCTGCACTTACTGCTTTCACTACAACTCCAGCAACTGAGGTTACTATCAGACTCCTATGGATCACTTAGTATCTCTTTGCTTAGCTCAGGCATTGCTGTGACACAAATCAGTAGTATCAATGCACTAGTAACTTGGTGCTAACTACACTATAGCTGTGAAAACTGTCTGCAGGATTCAACTCATTTAAAGGATGCCTTATGTTTAAAATGTGGATTACCATTCATCTCAGGTAAGTAGGATATTTTGAAAATGCTATTTCCTAATCTTGAGCAAAATTCTGAATATAGCACAAAGGGACACTGGCTCTGGTGGGATCAGCATGTAGATTTATTTTACTAGAATTGGAACCTATTTGTCCATACAAACCCTGAGGTGATTACTTTTGGGAGTATGGGAAGTCAGTTAGGAATACGAGGTCTACACAGGCATGATCTTCAGCTTACCTTCCTCAGAAATTAATATTTGTACAAATCTTCTAGCTGTCAGAAATCATTCTTAGTAATCCATAAAATGTATATCTGCAGTACTTGTACAAACAGTTGCATTGGTCCACTATTTTGGTTGAATTAAGTTTTACTACATAACTTTCTTTAATCTAGGGCATTTCAGTAAGGATTATACAAAACCCTTAACCCTATTAATATTTGTTCAGTAGTTAAACCTATTTTGACCACAAGATATGGAGATTCCTTTTTAGAGATGTGATTACTGTTACCCTCACAGTTAAGGCTTATCTTGAAACTGAGGAGAAGGAAAGGGTAGGACCAAATAGGTCTAACCAGAAGCCAAGTTTCAGGCAGCTGCTTCCTGCAAAAATCTAAGGGGTGCAACCATGCTACTGACCTATTCAAGGATGACCAATTGGTCCTAATGCAGTCATCTGAGAAAAACTGAGAATGCAGAAAACAGTAAATCCACAGAATACAATGGCGCTAAGAGTGTTAGTATTCAAGAAAGCAGTTATTTCCTCTCTTCCTGCCCAGGCAGGCATCGCTGGCAGGCTTCACATTGCCTGGTTGCTTCATACCTCACAGTACGGGATGAGTAGGGGTGAGAAGGACTCACAATAAGGAGTTGAGGCCATGGTCATTGTTTCCAGAACGTATACAAGATTTCACTGCCCAGAACTAATCTTCTGGAGTGCATCCATGCATGTGTGAAACTGTGGAGGAGACCAAGATGGGACTGAATTGCCACCATGCAGTTGAATTATCTTCAGTAGTTACGTTCTCTCAGGTAAGCTTTGCTTAGAAGTGATCTGTGATAATTGAAGCTGGAAGGCATTTTGGTCAGCTTTGGCCTAAGATGCATTTGGTTTTAAAAATGTCTATAGCTGCTCAGCATAGCAGGCAGGAAAAAAAAAAAAAAATATCTTTTTTTTTTTTTTTTTTTTTTTAAACCTGACATTACTGCAGGGTAATTGCCCTAGACCTTTGCCCCAAACAGCTTGGTTGATCAGGAGAAGAAGATCTGTAACTCTGAGAATGCTTTTGTGTCTGGAGACTTTGTTTTCTCCTTTGTCATGAGGATGGATTCATACTAGCCCTCCACTCCTCGCTTCTATATGTAATGAAACAATTTGTTCTTAAGAGTGAGAACACACATTTGTCTGTTTTGAGCAATGAAATCACCACTTAAAGGAACATATAAGCCCTATATGCCATTAAAAACTTCACTGCTGTGTAAAACCTAAAGCCATGCATTTGTTTCAAACGACGGAAACAGCAATAAACGCAGACTGCCCTGACTCAGCAACAATTGGAGGGCACCCTTTTGTATGAATAAAGATGCAAGAACTACTGAATTGGTTCACACAAGCAAGCCCACCAGCTCAGTAGCTTAACTCAAAGTAGACAGCAGTTGATTTTTTGGAAAGTCTGCAAAAATAAGGCAATTATTGGGTCTAACTCTTGGATTGTTTAAGTCCTGCTTCCTACTAGTTTCATTGCATACCTCTAGTTTTCCACTTTTGATAAATAATGAATTCATTATTCACTTTCACAGTTCTATTCATACTGCTTTTGCCTCCAAAAGTTCCTTTTCCAATAAGAAAAAATCAGTTTTACTCTTTTCTTGAAAGAGAAAAGCTTTTTACAGCTTGCACTGTGTCATTTCACCTGCTACTGAGAAAGAATATCTGCCATCAAGATAGAATGATCATCATCCCAGAGGCGTCAGGATGAGTTCAAAGCAAAAGCTTTCACAGCTGAAGGCAAAATATTGGATTAATTCTGAAGGGAAATAGAAACAAGATTTGAACAATGGTTTTGCCTAAAGAAGGAGCGTTGTATGAAAGGCCTTGGCAAAAGTCCTGGCAAAAAAAACGTCAAAAATGACACATCTTTCTTCTGTAGCAATATTTTAGTATCATAGCTGCTAGTGTTATCCTTGAGACAGATTAAACTGAACACACGTTTGGCTTTCACGCGTACTCCATTGGCTACACTTGACCAGTTCTTTTCAGCTAAGTCATAAATCCTAGAGGCCAATATGAGATAAGTAACTACAAAAAGGAAGCTGACTGTTAAAGAGCACATAAATTCACTATAGGTGGGACTAGTCTGCATAAGGAAGTCTTGCTCTGGCATCCATACATCAAAAAAGGTTGAAAATTAAGTTTAGGTTGGGCTCTTCCCGAGAAGGAATGAATGATAGCAAGATGTCCACCAGAAACTAGAGTTATCTGTAGTTTTTTAAATGGTGATTGTGACATGCAGCTGATTTCTAAAGTGGAGCTGATAGGGTGGCCTTCTAGCAACTTTGGTCTCCATAAATGCAAAGTCAGGTAGTTACATGCAACTGATGTTCCATTCGACATCCTCCAAGACGTTCCTTTTCCTGAAGGCAAGACAATTAAAAAAAGGTTTCCACCACTCATATATAACACATCAGTGGATTGGCCCTGGCTGCCTAAAACAAAACACAGCCAGAACTACTCAAAGATATGAGCCTTTGCTCCCTCTCACCTCCAAGTTGTGTGTTTGCAGAAGAAGAGAGGATAGGTGTCTTTTCTTCCTTGAAAAATAATGATTTTCATTCTTCCACATAATATAGGTAATTCTGAAAATGCAAGGCATGCACTCACTCCACAAGTATAATATTAGTTCAGTGAAGTAAGTCTGTGGAAAATCACTTTTGTCCAGACCATCCTGCCCAAATATCATTACATCTGTGGAAAAGCTGTTCTTCCATAAGGTGAAAGAATGTCTGACACAGCCAGAAAAATCCACTGGATGGGAAGATGAAGTTAGTGAATGTGGAAGGAAAAAAAAAAAAAGTCCAAAGTGTAATAGTTAATCTTTAGCAGAAATGTTCTTTGAGGTTTATGAATACTTGGCATCAGCTATAGCCAAGCAAAAGAAAATGACTCGTTGCATTTTAATTCTGGGCCAAGAAGTAGGCTACTGTGGTATTTTGGAAGGCTAAAACATTTTGATACTAGCTCTGCCACTTACAGAAGTTTGTAGAAACAGAATATAGAAATTCCTGACAAGACAGCAGGTATTTTCTTTTGTCAGCTTTGGGACTGACTAGACAGTCTTGGAGGCCTAACGAAAGCAATTCCAAATTGTGTGTGTGACTGACAGTCCTTGACATGAGTTCCTCAAGAGATCAACTCAACTGAAGCATTAAATTTAGGACTGAAACAGCTGCTAATACTTGGATCTTCCCTCCCCTCCAATCTCTTTTTCCGCACCAGGATCAGGGAAGGCAGATCATTTACCACCTATAAACCAGAATTTACTGGTCCTAAACCTTATCTGTCCAGACAGCTGACATATTTACAGAAGGGGGATGGGGTGTGTGTGTGAAGGTTGCTTTAAACTAAATAACAACAGTAAACTGAAAAAGGTAGGTACATCCTGCAGAAGAGGGACTAAGACTGCACAGCTGTTGTAGCTGCCCCTGTACACCCTCTTTATATTAAGGGTATAACAGGGAGTGGGGATGCTCTATAAATGAGGATGACTTACATACTCCTAGAAATACATGAATTTAAGAAGCATGCTTTGGAATCATGTTTAAAACAAAACAAACCAAAAGGTTAGGAGTTCCTAATATCACACCCACCTCACCAAGTGAGGGAATACTTTTACACAGTGAAAGTTTAATCAAAGCTATTTTTATTTATTGGTTCTGCTTTCACTGCAGAAAAACTGAAGTAAAAGTAGGCCTGTTTGTCAACCTGAAGCAAATAATCATAATTTTACTTACTGGACAGCTACCAGATCCTTTTGCAATTTGGGGCTGAGTTTATACTCTCAAAATTTTAACTAAATTAGAATGAGTTTTACAAGTACTACAGCAGCTGTTGGAGCTCCAGCCACGAACTCGTACTGTCTACACAAATGCAGAACACTTAACATTCTGTTTCAGATCAGAATGATCTTGGGTTGGAAAAAATATTTCTAATACTCTCACAAACCTGTCCAACTAATTACCCTTTTAAAATCCCTGCAGTATGTTCTGAGAAGTCAAAATGCCAACCATGTATTTCTGAAGTAGAGGAAAACATCACAGAGTCTATCCCTGTCTCCCTGTACTCAACTTATTTAAAAAAAGACTCCCACAGAACAACAAAAATTTATTAAAAAAAAAATAAAAAAAAATCACATTATACCTGGTGTAATTGAAAGCAGAACCTGGGGAATTATATTGAGTATATCAGTATAAATGCAACTAGAACATATATTTTTACAACTTTCATTTTCTGAACTACTTATTGATTATTCACGTGGCTCTTTCAAAATCAGATTATCACGTTCTTTTGAACAGTAATTCTCATTCACCACCATCTGCTTTATAAGCATGTCAGGCAGATTAGCTGCATGTTTCTGCTGTTAGTATTTGACATTTAATAAAGCCTAATAATCACTGCTTAGCTTTTTCAGAAATGGGTTTAAAGCTTCTCTTTATACCACCAGTCTAATAACTGTACTTACAGAGATTATTTTTAAAAAAGTGAAATTTAAGTACCTTTCCTTAATTGACATTGTTTTGCTGGAATTATCAAGGACATCCTCCGTTGTCTGTGCTTTGTTCTCTCCAACAGAAAACATCTCACAGGAATTCTTATAAAATTTGCCTTCCAATTGCTCAGAGAGCTCCTGCAGTCTACAGGATGCCACAGCTGCATTTTGTGAAATTGTCCTCGTTGCTGATGTGCTGGGGAGTTCAGAAGTAGGCTCAGCGTGGTCTGCCCATTCAGAAGAAAAGTGCTGAATTAGACTTAGTGCTATTCTCAAACATATTTCACATTACTAATACTGAAGCAGCAAATCTGGTGTTTAACATGCAAATCGCATGCTATCCTAATGGAGGAAAAATTTCTGGCTAAGCTAGAGTACAAAGATTAATCATGCAATATTATCTGCTGCAAAGACTGACCATTTGTGACTAAAGTTCACATGAAGCCACAGAATATCATGTTCGATATACAATTCTAAGCTTCATATGGATGAGGCACAAACTGCTGCTCTTGTCATCACACCAACAGGAAAACAAATGGACAGATGAAAGTGAGAGGGGAACAAAGAGTCGGGGAAGAGAAGCAGACAAAACTTAAATAAGAAATTAACTTATTGGTAAAGCAGTTTAATGCATTAGTAGCATACTGGGAGGACATTTAATAGCTTAATAAAGGTATTATTTTCTAGGAGGGTGTTGGGGGCTTTTTTGGTTTTGTTTTTTCAAGCAGCAATTAAACCAAAGGAAAAACTGCCTTGATGAAAGATAAATGCACCATTTCGGTTATCCTTAAGGAAATATAAGTGATCTTAATTTTTCTTTTTCAAATTTTACAAGCACAACACCCCTCTGATACACAACTGCTCCTGTTTTATCCTAGCCTCCATCTCCCCTGCAGTCACTGAAAGTTAATTGGATAGAACGGACACTGCTTTTAAGGAACACAGGCAGAACTATACCTTTCTCCCTACACCTGTTTGAAGATCATTACATTTGAAATAAATTAACTTCACATGATGAAGACAAAAATGCTCCTAGCACTACAGGGTAGTGTGGTCCTGTACCCCATCATAATAAAACAGAAAAGTAATACAACATCTTTCTAAATTCAACAGAATAGAAGGCTTTATGCAATGACCAAATTGACTGATTATTTCCAAAGTACTTTAAAGATAGGTGAGTTTACTTATAAGTTTGAATTATGCTGTGCATATAGAAATGTAATTGCTCTGATAATTAATTGGTTTATATTTTGTCGCCACACTGAAAATAAAATAATAGTAGTTTTGCAAAATTAGTTATCTGAAAATTATCCACTACTAGCTATATATGTACATATGTAGCTAATACATAAATATATGCATGAGAAGGCAACACTTAAGAGCAGACACTTGATCCAGAGCAGCAAGTTTATTCTGTTCAGCATTTTGGAGGGCAGGGGCAAGGGCAAAAGAAGAAAGGATACATCTTAGCTTCAGTGTATAATACCATTTCTTTCAAGGTAAGAAAATTTGAATAAAATTGAGCTATCTTTAAAGGCTGAAGAATTGAAAGAATAACAAAGAGAAAACTGTATTTGTAAAACTTAAGATTTCACAGGTATTTCTCTACTTTTAAGCAGTGTTAAAAAAGGAAACATAACCACCCTTGATAATGCTTGAAATAAAGATGTTTAAAACTAGAGAAACACCACCATTTGCTGAATGAGACTACACCAACAGCAAGTATATACTGCACCTCTTTGCAAAATCTTGCTTTTTGTAACACTTTCCAAATCCATCTTTTCTTCAAAGGACTGGCCTTCTTTGACTTCCCATTTACCTTGCACACCAGTATCGATTTCCTTCTGTTCACGAGGCTGAAAAAGTGCTTGTGAACTAAAGAGTTCTGTGCTGCCTTTCCTCAGGAAACTGTATGTTGTCTCTTTATGGTAGTCTCCTGTTTTTTCAGGAACAGGATGTGTGGTTTCTTCATCAAAGGAGCTGTACTTTGTAATTTCATTAGCTTCATGTGCTAGAAACCTCTTTCTCTCTTCTTCATGCTTCTTTGATGCTCTTTTGCTTTCTAGCACTTCCACTGAAGGCTGCCACTGTTCTGACTTCTGTGCGCATTTTCCTGAAGAATCCGAGTTTTCTGCTGAAGAGTGGAATCTCACATCAGCTCTAGCAGCAGCGCTCATGCTTCCATCACGAGCTGGCTTTGTATGCAGGTCTCCAGCATACAATGGAGAAAGGGTAGATGCCATCGTTGAAACCGATGTTGCAACTGCAGTTGACAGGGGAGTAATTTTTCCACTTTCATTTTGTACCTATGAACACAAAAAACCCAAAGGGACTTAAAAGCTCTGAAATCATCAGTTCCTGAAAACAGCCTAATTGCATCAGTTCTTCAGAGGTGTGCTTCTGAATGAATATAGTGCTCTATAAATATGGACTAGAAACAGATAAGGAGAGCAACAATGCCCCCTAATTTGGCTGCAGGTGGATTATTTCACCCAGGGAAGAAACAACTGCATGTGAACAGCAACATCTTTAGTAATAAAGGGTATATGTGTAGCATGCAACATGACATCGTGTCAGGGCTCCATGAAAAGGCTCATACTGGCATGGTACTGCACAGCACCAGGGAAAGAAATTAGTTCAGGTTTCAGACACTGAATGACATGCCATGTGCCAGGCTAATCAACTCTGCATCTCAGCAGGACTAATTAGCTTTGGCACAGCTCTGCTCTGATAACGGTTATGCAGCTTCCAGCTCTGGAGCCAGCTCAGTGCCAGAGAGAGACTCTGCTCTGTGCTGTCCTACATAGGGCAGACATTCCTGACACTTCTGCAACATAGACTAACAGTCCTGCGTGAAGCTGATTTAACTCTTTTTCAAATAGAAACATTGGCTTTCATGTACATCTCTGAGCAGAGTATTTGAATCTAAGAAGCCTATTACAAAAAACTCCAAATTTGCTTTGCTGGCCTCCACAGTGGAACAATTATCTTTTCTACTCTTCTAACGTAATAATATTATAAAGTTTCCCTAGAGATGCTTAAGATGCAAAATTTTTCTGAAATGCAGAGCTTGGCTTTGTCTTCTCCAAAGGAGACAAAAGCTATGAAAAAGACTGACAAACATGCCTTCATACACATCAGGAGAGGTTTTTTGTTTGGCTTGCTTTGTTCGTTTCTTAAACTGCAGGGCTAGTGAACAGCATGCAAAAGGAATAGACAAAAGTCACACCAGTAGGAGGAAATGAACTGAAAACTTAAAATGCACATGCAAATTCCATAGAGCATGGACAACACAGTCATTCATTAAACAAACCGGAAAGCAGAGCAAAGACTTCTACACTAGCTCAAAGATTCCAAAGAAAGATTATGAAAATAGTTACCAGTTTACTCTTTTTCCATTGCATCTATCAGAATTAGAAATTTAGAGTAGATGAGAAAAAGGATTTCAGCTTTAGTTACAAGATTTTTTACATTTACAATTATGTATTTTGGTAACGTAAGCTCTAGTTATCTATTTCAATACCTTTCTTCTGTTTCTTCCTAGAAAAACTGTAACTGCATCTCAAAACATCTCAACACTCCAAATGAACAGTTCACTACAGAAAGTCTTTTTGAAAATACACTCCCACTGAACTTGGTTCAGAGTCAACTCTGATTTCTTTTCCTAGGTTCAGAAAGAGATGACAAAACATGCTTCCTCTGTGTTTACTTGCTTAAAGAGCAAGTCTGTTCTGTAGAAGTCTGAGAAACTAATGTGACTGTCACTTCTTTCCCATCTGTTTCAGCCCATTTCTATTGACCACCTTCCTGGGCCCCAAAGAAGTTAGTGACATAATCATTAAAAACACCAGGCTGTGACAGTGGTTGTCACATGGGAAATGAATGGAAAGAGGACTATGTAAGGTCTGAAAATCTTGCTAAAATAAATTTGACAAATATTTACTATTTCTTCATGTCTAAGTAGGCATAAAGTACAATTTTATATCTGTACAGCTTTGCACCAATATAGTCAGAGGAATCCTGCCTTCTCACTATTCTATTATTATAACATGGAAAATGTATAATCATGAATGAAGCATATAGAAAGAGATGGGTAGGAACTTTCTAACGCTCATATTGATCCAAATCCCTAGAAATATGACATGCATAGGAGTTGTGCTTCACTGTTAAAGTGATTTCTTTTAAAGCTATAATAAGGGACTGATGTTTCTGCTATTGTGAACATCAGCTCTGAAAGACCACTGCTGGGTCATCTTATGCTCAAACTTTGCTAAAAAGGCATTCCTTTGCAGTTCCAATTATAAGAAGGATTCCAGAACAGGAAGCCAAATTCCACTGCACATATTAAATAATTTCATTTTGACTTCTGAATTTCAGAAGTATTCTGCTTTTAGGGGAAAAAAACCCCAAACAAACCCCCAAAAATCAATGCCCCCTCCCAGAGGAAAATGGCAGACTATGTCCTGACTAATAATGGAAATATATAGTGCTTTCAGGAAAAAGTCTAAAAGTTGCACGACAAAGCTCCAAAATTCCCTGAAAATACATCTAAAGCATGATATGTATCACAGTTTTTACCCCTTTGGTCATAAATTTACTTTTAGAAGACGTGTAATATTCTACTGGAAAAGATGGACACTGTGAAAGGTACAGCATGCACTAATCAGGAAGAAGATATCCTCTTGAATTACTTAAAAAACACACCAATGAAGTTGAACATTTTAGAGGATGTTGTTCCTCAATGTCAGAAGACTGCTTCCTGACAAGCTTTTTTTCTGCGAATAAGTCATGACCCCATTGTGTAGCTCAGAGCAAAGAAAAGGCCAGCTTTTATGGCATCTTACACTGAAGCTATTTTCTCCAATAAAAAGAAACAAATGAAAAAGAGTGAAGATTGCACTTACCTGCTCAACTTCTCCAAGAGTGACTGGCTGAGTCTGGTAACGAGCATTCATCCTCCTGTGCCTAATATCTCCTCGACTCCTTGTGGAGACGGCCCTAGATACTGGTTGAGACAGTTTGTTAAACAAAGCCATCTTTTCTGCCAAACTTAAGGTGGAAGAATCTGGTTCATCAGACTGATCTTGCCCCATGGCCTCTTTGGCTGCTCTTATCTCCTCTTTAGCTAAAATTTTTTGGTGTGCTGATGCCTGCAAGCTGAAGAAACAGAACTGGAAATGAGTTTTGAAGAAGCCGTTATGAAGTTTTAAAGTCTTAACCTGATAGAAGCAGAAGAACTGCACATGAAGCACAATAGCCAATGTAATATAGCAGCCTAAGTGGTTGTGCAGTGGTTCAACATTGGCATGATGAATTCTAATTCAACAGCTGAAGATTTAAAAAAAAGTTAAATTTTCATTCACAAATTCATTTGATTAGGACACAACAATTTTTCAAAAGGCGAACACAAAACTGAAGAGAGACTTTTCAGACCAATCTCTTTATACAGAATACAGAACTATGGAGAGGCATTTAAGATGCCTGCTGTAGAACAAACACAGGTTCTACAGTTCAATTTAGATAAAATTCAATTTTATTAGAAATAATTTGTGGACCATGTAAGATAAAAACATTTAAAAGTTCGTGCTGCTTTTAGATTAGCATAAATTGTATTGCCTTTTATAATTTGAAGTGGAACAGAATTCAGACTATCTTTTGTTTTATCTGGGGTAACTCAATAACAAAAAATAGTTTTGAAATATACTTCATTAATTTTGAAGATTGTTTGACCAATGCTGAAGGCAGACACATTCATTCTTAAAAGCTGTAACTGCATTTGTCTCTGTGATAATATATTTTATTCACCTCTACAGTAACATATTTTATTTACCTTCAGCGACATATATGTAATTAGTAGTGTTCTTTCTTTCCCCTGCCCTCCCCTCCCACCCCAGCGTGGTCTCTGCTAAAATTCTCTCATTCAGAACAGGCAAACAGTATTCTGCAACTTTACCTATAGGTGGTGCAATTTCTTATCTTTCCTTTAATTTTGCAAGCTAAAAAAAAAACCACGTCTGTAGAGACAGACAAAAGAGGATATGTACTGCTTGTGAAATCAAGCACCCAGTTTGGTATTTTCATCTCAAGGTGACATTACCGTATAAAAAAAAAGTACAAGAGCAAAGAAGGTGCTACTAGGTTTGCTTTACATGCAAATTCACTTCTTCCACAAAGAAGAATATGCTTCTAGCACAGGTAAGTGTGGTTAGAAAGGTCCTGAAAACAGATGCTTGACAAGAAAAAAGCTGCATCGTTTTATCATGCAAACATAAATGAAGTTGATGAATGTTTTAAATATTCTTGAAACAAGTATTGACTTGACACATTGAAAAGGCATTCAAGACTTTAAAGATGCATCTGCTATTGAGGAATCTTGTGCTCCATGTAACATGCATGTTTATCCCCCCCAGTACCTGATAGGTTGTACAGTGCTCTTAACTACAGTGGGACTAGGTACTCTTGTCACTACTGTGTGGGTATTCACAGAACGTGAAGCAGGGGTAGATTCACTTTAAAGAATTGCCAAGGAGGGAAAATTCACAGGGAGAGAGAAGAAAAAAGCATTAAGAAAAGCAATACATTAAGCGTTAACTACAGAAAAGACCAAAACCAAACCAAACCAAAACAGAAAAAAAACCAAATAGCAATGGCTTTTAATTAACTGAGTTATCTTCTGCGACCTTTGCAAAATAACTTCAAATACTTTGAAAAGAACTAAAAGCATAGAAGAGCAAACAGGTTGTCTCTTGAAGTTACTCATTACCCATAACATAAACTATCTTTTAGTAGATTATTAAGTTAACGTCCATTCACCTTTGTTTAATTTTCCCCAAAAATGGCTTTCCTTTTTTCAGGAAAATTTCATGATGTATGACCAGAGTGCAAGAAATGCATTTCCAAAAAATACATTTGAGATTTCAGAGTGTAAAAGGTTTTCCCCAATACAAATACATTCCATAAGAAACTGTGCAGATTTCCCTCAGCACAGAGTATCTTTTTCATTTGAGTTACAAACCAATGCTATGATTAATCACGTTTACCTAATCTACAGGTTCATAAGCTTTCTGCCAAATTACAGTTCATAAAAGTTATGCTTTACTAGTCCCTCTCCTTCTAAAAAGGAATTTCAATGTAGTTCCCCTGTGGTTCTCAAGGAAGTTGGCCTTTAACAATATATGTTTTCCTTGCTACAAAGTTGTAAACACCACATATATGGACCTTATTCCCAGATTTAAAATCAGGAACCAAAGTTAGAGCCAACATATGTACAAGACTTACGTAGCTGCAATGACCACTTCCTCACTGGTAATTGGTTGTGTGTGCGATCTATCCTGCAAACGCCGCAGTCTTCTCTCTACTGCTGAACTTCTTGTAGGTGGTTTAGAAACATTTTTCATTTCAAATGATTTTTCCATTTCCTAAGAGGACATATGTCATAATCAAAACCATGAAAGAAAAATTCTAAACCAGTACTTTCTTTCTAGCTTTCTTGCATGCAAAGTAGTAAATTTACCAAATGCCCATCTCTGAATTAGAAGCAGGATGTAATTGCACAGTAGGCATCATAGAGTTAAAACTAACTACACATCTCTCTAAATGATGTTCTTAAAGAAGGCTGTAAAGCAACAAGCCTACTGTGTAGATAGGTGAGATATCTAAAAAAAAAAAAAAAAAAGAAATTACATAGCTTAGACTTGGTTAACTGCATTACACTTCATTCTAATGCACTTTGGGTTCTTCAGCATCTTGTATATGAAATGTTTAACTCAGCCTTCTATTAAGAAAATGTAATACTTACTCTAAAAAGCAGCCTCTTTGCAGCTACACTTAGTTTGGCTCGGTCATCCAATTTTTCTTCGTCTACACAAAAAAATAAAAGGAGGCTTAATGTAATGAATCAAGCTCATATTAAGTGCAAGGGTTTTTTTGACTAAATGATTTCTGAACTCCTCAAAAATTATGTTTTACTAAGCCAAGAAGCACCACCAGCAAATAACTGCAAATCCCTTTTAACAAAAGACTTACTGTAAACCAAATTTTGTAAACTTTACTTATATTTACATGTATTGCATCAGAGGAAAATTCTTGACAGGATTTGAGAACAAAAGACTTGTCTTCAGGACAGTTCACATGCTGTCCAGTTATCCGAACAACCTTTTATGAATAATCAAATTTATTATATTAGCCTATGATAGCACATGGACTAAGAAAATAATTAGACCCAAAGACTGTCTTAAAGGTCAATATTCATCCTGCTGTATAGAACATCTGTTTTGTACTACTTGACCATATGAGATGGTCTCTCTTGGAAGCTGGTCATTCTGATTACCACCTTGTGTCTCCATTTTTCAGAGGCTCTACTGGTATCCTTAGGAGCTGAAATCAGCATCCTCCAGATCCAAGAGCCAACATCTCAAAGCTCCAGAGAATATCAGCTTTCAAATAGCACAAGGCATTAAATCTAAATTTAGCTACTCATGAGATTACCTACTTAATTTGTGCCAGACTTGCTGAGAGTGACAAGAGGGAAAGAGAAGCAAGATGGCAGACTGAATGATATAATTTAATAACCAGCATCTTGCAACTTCCTTAGCTAGAAAACACGTTACCAATATCAGTTTCACCCTATAGTAAAGGCTTTTTTAGTTATTAGTCCTAGACCACTGATTAAAATGTGTGTTTTTTTCTTCCACCAACTAGCTTATTTATTGTCTAAATTGGAAAAAACCCCAACTTATGTTGAAAAGTGTCAAGCCATTCCCTCCCTTGCCTCCCATACAAAGTTCGGTATCCATAGACAGACTTTTGGACTTAAATGAATTTGAAATCAAGTTCGTAGTAGACATGGCCCAAGGAAAAGTGATACTTCAGACATATTATAGGTAATGATAATTATTTTCAAGTGGACTTTGTTTGCATTATCAAATAGTTCTCCAGTTAAAACAAAACACAACACATTTGCTCCCATTTCTTCCTTAGAAAATAGCATAGTAACATACCTTCAGCAGTCGGTATTTCCGCACTCAAAACTGATCTAGTGAAAAATTATCAAACAGAAAGAAGTTAGTTGGAAACGATATCTCAAAAGTTAAATTCAAACTCCATCTGAAGTAGCAGGACCTCAAAAGTCTTAAGAGTGGGAAAACTTTATCTATTTTTCAAGTTTCAACATTTTCCACTTTGACATCCTTTAATAAAGCAGAAAGGCAAGCAATTGCAGCCAAATTTAAATACAGTAAAGGAAAATGTTTTCCAGTTCATCTTGCAGAAGATAAAAGTCTAAGATTTGCTGCCAGCTCTTTTAACAAAACATGTAGATTTGGCTGTTTACAAAAAAAGTAAAAGATAAAGCAGAGTAGATGGAAAGGAAACTCTTTATATATAAACAAAAGTATTTATTATTAGACAGAACCAGACAGCTATAATATTTTATGATGATTCACTGTTCACCATTTTACGGGGGGCGGGATTTGCAATGAATTGGTTTTGTCGGCGGCATTTTGGTTTTTATTTTATAAGAAGCTATAACAAATACTTCATTGTTTTTAAAGAGAAACAATAACCTTGCAAAATATTTATGCTAATAATGAACAAAGTCTCTTCACAAGCTTGTTCATGTCTACCTGCACCAGAATGCTACACAGAGCTACGTACATGCCTACCTATCTGTCTCCTTTCGTTCTGCTGACGTTATAGGTTGAGTTTTAAATCTCTCGGAAGTCTTTCTATTTTCACCAGGAGAAAAATAGCGCCTTGGCCTTCGTGGCCCTCTTTCACGGTCACCATTGGCAGACAAAGTGCTACTTGCTGTTGACATCTCAAACCGAGACTCACTTTTAAACCACATGATAGAAAGCGCATAGAAAAGAAAATAGAAGAGAGAAGTAAAGCATAGATGTAAGCATCTCAACAATTCACTAGAGATCACTCTGCATGCTCCTCTGGTAACATGCGCAGACGTACACATTCCAGCTACCCCACATCACAACTTGCACTAGCAAGCAGAAGCACAAAAGCAGGATTCAAACCATCTCAGCCTCCAGTACACGCTGGTGAGAGCTAAGCTGTGTGCTTTAAGTGCCGAACACAACTGCTGTTGAGTGTGTGTAATTTTTGCCAAGGACGTGCAAGTTTCACACGAAAATACGTCTGAAATGTCACCTACAGTTCCGTTTTCTTGTTGGCATTAGCAGTCTCCAGAAAGACATTACGGAGCTGGGCAACAGAGACTTTTGTGTCAACCATGCCAATCTCACCGTTTGGTGCATTTGCTTCCATGCTCTCCTTACTTTTAGAAGCTTCTAGCTTAGGAGCCACAGTATAGTCAGACATTGAGCGAGTCAGGACTTTATGCTTTGCTGTCGACACCTTCCAAATGGGAGCTTTTGCCTTGGCAGGCTGCGATACAGACCCGCTCTGTATGTACATAACAGCTTCACTCCTTTCTGTGTTCTCAGGGGTCTTAAATTGCTGCTTAGGAGCCTGCCTCTTATTGCACTCCAGCTCTCTCTGAACTTCTGAGTTAACTTTCAGCTTGCTTGCGAAAGAGGAACTCCCCACAGGGGTATTCTCCAATTCTCCTCCTCCAAACAGGCCATCATGGTTCTTCCCTTGCTTGCGAATCTCAGACGGCAAAATTGGTCTTCTGCCTTTGGAAGCCTGTTCACCCTCCAGGGAATCTTCTTCATCGGGCTTTGCTCCATAACCAAGCACCTCTTTCTTTTCACTCTCTGATGCAGCAGCTCCTGACGATTTTATTAAGAGGCTAACATTGTCTGGTAGGAGGAGGCTGCCAACAGAGATGTTTGCTGGTTCTTCTGTTGCCATCAGCTGAGCTGTGTGAGCAATGCCAGCAGGCTGAATATAGCCATGTATTGGTTGGCGGACTGAACTGACGGGCTGATTTATAACCCTATCAAAGGCAGACGTTTCTGTCTGAAGAGACATGTAGTGGGCTGGCACTGGCTGTGATTTTCTCTGAGATACTGTGTCTGTGACAAGTTCAGGGCTTCCACGAGCACTTTCCTCTTTCACCAGTTTCTCTCTAACTTTTACTCTTTAAGAAAGAAAAAGGATTAAAGCTGTGAACAGCAATACCCAATCCAGGAAGGAAAACAGACGCTGGGTACAGACAGCAACGTTGTATTAAAATAAAAAGCAATCAATACATAAAAGAAAGCAATCTTATGATGCAACCCCTTCCTCCCCCCTGAATCTTAGTAGTAACATTGCTCAGAAATATACAAATGATTCACAGGCCCTAGAACGTGCATGACTCCTGAGAAGGTAACTGAGCAAGCTCTGAAAATGTACAGCGTGTTCCCATGAGGTCACAACTGTGTTTGTCAAACAGCACATACCCATAGTCTCAAACAAACAAGATGATCAAAACTGCTTTTCATATTATCAAACTGTTGGGTTCAGTCTGAAATTGCATATTCCATTGGCAATCATGTATGTAGTCAGATTTTTGAAGATGTCTAAACACTGAGCAGCTTACATGGTATCAAGATGCTGTTGCATTGGGGAAAGAGATGAAAAAACATGTTGTTATTCCCCACTTAGCCCTTCAGAAATTTGCCAGAGACTTTTTTATTTGTGCTTTTGTGTATCATATAAGATATCTACAATGTTACATGTAGTGTAACTTGTTTCAGTAAGTGAGAAAAAATGTTGAAAGTACAAGCCTTAAAGCCCAAAGTGAAACTATGGCATGGCTGTTGCTCTTCAGAGGGCTTGCAGGGGAGAAAAGGATTTAAAAAAAAAAAACAACAAAAAACCCAAACCAAAAACCAAAACCCAACCCCAACCAAAAACCAAAACCCAACCCCAACCAAAACAGGCATTTTTTTAATAAAACGTTTCATTACATTCTAACATGCAAAATTTACAGGAATGTTCCCCACAAGTTACCTTACTTCAGTGTATTTTCTAGAAACACCTCTAGACTTGTGTAACATCCATGCAAAACTGAGTTGTATTCTACCTTCAGACACTGAATGCAATTGCACTAATGGAAGGCAAGCACGTGCAGCCAGAGGTAGCCTTTGCTCTATGACTACAACTGCAGGTAAGCTATCCAGCAGTTTTACAGCCACACCGAGTGTTTGGACAGCTTACAGGGCAAGTGTTTGTAAATATCACATACACAGTATTAAAAATGAAAGCCCTGTATTTTCTCCCCTCCCAGATGGGTATAAAAAAATTGATTTTGATTCTGAGAAAGGAGACAAACTCAAGTACAATAGGATACTAGCTGTTTATTTGAAAGTAACCCAACTCAAAGTATGTCCAATTCCAGACTTGTTACCAACAAACTTTTTGGAGTTTACATTATTAAAAAAAAAAACAAGTTTTAGGAAAAAAAGGCAAATGAGTATCTGAGAGAATCATTCGGGATATCCAGAGTTATCTGAAACACCAACCTTTCTAATATTTTGATATTTCTTATCTCTGAGGATTGGTGCACTTATCAGGGAAACGTCTCAAAGTTACTTAAGCACAGAAAGTGTGTTCAGTCTGAAAAAGTGATTCTTTAAACTACATGTACCAAGCATTCTGCAGAACATCCACACTGATGTTAGTACTGGGTTATAAGAATTACTTTAATCAGGTACATGGAAAAGAGTCTTCCTGCAATGCTTCTCGTGGTAGGCTAACTGTACATTACCAAACTGGGAGAAAACAGCTGCTTGTAGCTCTGATCAAGATCTTGCTTTACTTTTCAATATAAATTTTTTACTTCCTTCGTACAATCTCCTTTGGAATTCAAGCAATTAGACTGTAGGCAATGCTAAGATGGATTGGTGTGTGGTATAAAAATCTGCTGGTTTTGCAGAGTACAAAGAGGGATAAAAAAGAAGTTATAAAAATTAGTGGAAGCCAGAATGATAGTAGCTGTGGAAGAAGCTAGGGGCATTTGTACTTTGTCATCTAAATACCAATTGGTCGTAAGTTACAATAAAAGCAGATGCTTCAGAAAAGTTTTAACAGCTGTTTATCTGCAAGAAACAACAGTTTAATTTTTCCTTTAACAGCAGCAAGTTAGAAAGGTAAAGTGTTAAATGAAGACAGAGTAAAGTGAAAGATAGGGGAGGTTTGTAGTCTGATTGTTAGTCACACAGCTACGTTTTATGATACCTGGAGGGCCAGCTGATAAGTGAAGGTGTGTCCCCTTCCGAATCTTTCTGAAGAAACCATTCAGGTTTTGCTTTCCCTGCACTACTACAGAAAACAGAACTTCAGGTAATTTTTTGAGATCTCAACACATGCTCCCATTGTTTCTCCCAATCTTCCCTCCCCACTGTTTTTTTTTGTTTTCTAATTACTCAATTACATAGGACTGTTCATGAAAATAAAAGCACAGCACATTAATCAAATTGAAAGGTGATAAACCGTGAAACAAACTATCATATTAATTCCACAAACACCTAAAACCAGTGTTCTGAATGTTAAATATTCTGCAAATGTAACTTTACCAAGTGTACATTGTCCAGAATTTGAGAAGTGAAAGCAACTACACAATCTTATTTTTGCCATTTGCCACTGCAGGTCAGTTTGAAGAGTTTATGTAAGGACACCTGGAAAAGTTGCTAAAACCATCCCTTTAATTTGTGATTTAAAGTGGTAAAGACCGCTGGGTCCAAAATGAAGTCGTAATATGAATTTAATGAAGTTGTAAATTCAGATGGCTACATCATACTTCCTAAGAAATTCTCAGGAGCATCTGGAACCCCTCTCTCCTCTTGTAGCCCTCTATCACAAAAGCTTCAGAAATGCAAACCCAGTTAGCTCACAGTGCTGTGTCACTGGGTCACAGAGGAAATGAAAAGCTTAGAAAACAAAGTATCCCTCAGTTTGATCTTGTCTTGACTTTATTCTGCTTCCATTTTGGAGTTGAAAGCGTAAAAAGAAATAAGAGCACTGCAAACTTTTAAAAGCCTGCAAGAAAGGGTGTTTGCAGACTACCTACATACAGTTTCTCAAATACTTTCCTAAAGCCCACCTTCATCGACAGATCACATCAAATACTTTTAACCTTGCAAGCACAGACTGCCAGGCCACACTAATGTTTACAGACAAACTCCCTGGAGGTGACAAGTGGCCAGGCTGCTTTCCATTACATATAGCTACATCTGAAAAAAACTCCTCGCATTGCAGTAGAGCTATTTGGGATGAAAATTCCAAATTAAGCTCCGGGTCATCTACTTCAATTTTTCTTACCTGGTCTTTTAATAAATATAGTTGAAAAAGGTCAAATCAACTACTGTTCTTAAGATAACAGTGCATTTACTGCAAATAAGTTTAAATTTGAAAACTCACCTACAGTTGTCACCTTACCCAAATCAAGCTTAGAACAGAGTCAAACACTGACTGTTGAAACACCTTTTGTTTTTCCAAATGTTTTTTAATTCCTAAAGGAACTGACCAAATAGGAGGTAAAAACCTTTCACAGGAGCTGATCCAGTAGCTGGAATTGCTCTGAAGCAAGCAAACTTCCTTCTCGTCTCTTAACGTGCACTTTGGCACATTTTTATAGTAGGCATGGCCCAAGGAACAATTATTTGTTCTTGATCATTCATCCTTTGAAGAGAGCAGTCAGAAGAACACAAGCTATGTTTTGAATTTAGAGTTAATCAGCCACTTCAGCAGCCAAATGTAGACAATGTCAAATGATACCTTCTCAGCACTTTGTTGTCTTCTCAGTGATGGATAATAGGATTAATTATTAAATCTTCTTAGGATTGAAGGCACAAAGCTTTCATATGTATTCCAAAGCAAGCTGCATTTTTTTTCCCAATTTGAAATCAGCAAATTTAAATTTAACAAAAACAATTTTGCAACCTATATAATGTGGAACTGACTTCAAAATGGCAGCCACCTGGAAAGTTGGCGTTAGCCCTTATTTTGCTTGTGCAGTTGGCCTTATAGGAGATTACCACACAGTAACTTTAAACAGACTGCATGGAAATAAGCAATGACTTCCTGACCACTCAAACAGGGAAAAGAGTTTGAGAGTTTATCTTTAAATCTCTGAATATGACACCAGTGAGTATGCACTGGCACTGGAACTTCTCAGGGGTATTAAAATGAAGAACAGGCTCTTGGCAACTTGGCCTTTAAAAAAAACACCTACTGCCTACACACGTATCCAAACAAGAGACCAAATCCCAAGTTTAAACTCTTGGCTGTTGTAAGAGCTGCACCGCATCTTGGCAGGTGCAGATGATTTTCTTCAAAAGATAAGACAGACAGTAATTGTGGGAAACCTGTTTTACACAAACACTGATGCAAACCTCCTCCAGGAAGAATCTGAAATCAGTGATAATGCAGTCAGTAATTTGTATTAAGTTATGACTTATTCCTGCTGCTTTTGCCACAGTCTCTCATTTGTTAGTATGGCACTACTGCAGAGCAGAGAAGTAAAAACAACTATACCACAAATGGGATGGAGCTTAAACTCAGGAACTGTCCTAAACATCAGAACACACCTGAAAATGGATCTTACCATTTCATTATCTGGAAATGGAGAACAACTAAGTCTCAAAAAAAGCAAAACTTTGCAGAAGGGGCCTGTGTCCACTGCTTGCCAAACACAGCGGATCCCTTAGTGTTTCACACAGCATTAGATCTCATAGGGACATATAAATTAACAAATGAAAAAGTATGCCCTCATTAAAAACACTGTTTCCTTAATTATTTCTCTTCTGTCCAACTTTTGCAGCATCTTTTATTATTAAAAAATAGGTAATGCCAGAACAGGCAACTTTAAAAAGAAACAGCTGGAGTTTGTGAATGATTTGATAATGCCTTCAGCCTGCTCAGTCTGAACTTGTAACTGGTTTATAGACCTGCATTAGAGGAAACACACTTGTTAGCTAAAGAAAAGTGAGCTTTATAAGGACCCCAGATTTCTCCACATTAAAGGCTAATCTGTGAATGAGCAGATTCAGGTGTCTCTCAACAGCCAGCATGCTGTTTCAGCAGGGCAGCTGCCATCCCACCAATGCAGTGTGCAGCACAGCTTCTCCTGAGTTGGAAGAGGTAACAACCTAGAAGGCATTTCATTGTTCAGTATTTCATTGGTTTCCTCTCACAGAAACAGGGACTAGGATTGCTTTATGAGAGTAAAGAAAATAAACCCCCTTTTCACACTGCAGTAGACACATTCTTGGCTATAAAGTTTGATGGGCTATTCTCTTTGCTTTCTTAAGGCTGAAAACTTTGTCCCTTCCTTCACCTTATAAAACAAAGAAAACAACCTGCCAAAGGTCCGTTGCCCCAATATTCCTTCCTATTGGTAATTGGATTAGTCAAGAGATTTACTTCAAATTGACTATTTGAACATAAGGGATAATATTTTGTAGTATCAGTTGAGACTGCTTCAGAAACAAGTCTTTTGGAGCCTGGAATAACATAGTCAGTTCAAGGAGTTTCCGTACAACTCTGGTCTGGGTGGATAGATGACCCTGTGATGACTATTTTTCCTTACTGTAGTAGCAGAATGGTAAGCTTAAAACATAAACTAAATATAAGATAGTACTTCCTAAGTATGTTGACTTACTTCCCCTCTGATTGCTTTTTTGAAATTACAATATTCCTTTAAAATTTTGGCTTAACTGGGAGACTCCAATGATAGCTCATATAGTCACGTATCCATGCAAAAGAAGGTACACAAGATTAGGAGTCACCTGAATAATGAAAAGCTATGAAAAAAAAAATATTAAGAGACTACTACCGGTGTGTCCTATGCAAAAAAAGTGAAACAAAAAAGAAGGCTAAGTACATCTGAGCAGTTTACAGGCACTGCAAATAGATGACTTAATCAATCCACCAGGTGGTTAACCTTTGACGTGGAAGATTGCTTCCTCATTCAAACTTTACAGTATCCTTATGAGAATTAATAAGAAAGGCCACCACAAATAAGAAGCAAGTTTTGTGATTTTGATGGGAAGGATAAAGAAGTCTGGTCAAGGTAGGTTGTTTCTGAACCTACTGCAAAAAATGCCAAAATGTATAAACGGTTCAGTTTATGCCAGTTCATTTCAGTTTTTTAGAAAGAGTCAGCACTGCTCAGCATGATGCAGATGTGTTTACAATTAAGTTCTCATTACAATTTACATCATTTTTAACTGCCAAATTTTAATTTAAGTTTTTACAGTTACTATTTTCCATCTATCCACCTACCTAGAAATTAAAGAGTCACATTTAGAGAAAACCATCCTTTTAAAAAATACTTAAGTCACATGTTGTTTTCAGTCATGATAACACTTTGACAGTCTGTTTTTGCACTACAGTGTGAAAGTACAATGTGAAATTAGTGAAAACTATTTTTTATTTCCTTCTGGAAGAATCTGGTTATGCTGTTACTGGAATAGAATTGTCAGATCTGAAGTAATTCAGCATACAATGAGGGAGGCTAGCTTTTCCAAATTCAGCATGGAATTTTAACTCTCCCCTATGCCCCTTCACACACATAACCCGATATTACCTGAAAGATGAACTATCACAGTTCAAAAGGGTTTTTACATTTTCATGGCAGAAAAACAAATCAACTATTATTTCAACTGATCCAAGACACTTTTCAGCTTTTAACTCTGAGACCTGTTTTGTTTTGGCAGAAGCCATCATGAAGCTATTCAAATCTTCACTGAGAAACAATCTTTACTTGGAAACCCCCACCCAAACAATTACAGGATACGGAGGAAAAAAGTCAAAGGCTTGCTCTAACAGGTTATGAAAAAAAAAACAAACCCGAGAAGGTTTAGAACCATAACTGCTTCAATTTCTAGTTTGTGTAAATATCTTAATCATCAGTTATTCCACTCCTCTGCCAAAAGAGCCTAATTTTAGCATAAATTCTATAAATATAAAGTGAAACCAAGGACATATCTAATCATAGAAATAGACAGCCACTTCCTTGTATCAGAAACACACTGTGATTCAATAAACCCAGTCAATCCAGTCTGAGACATCCAAACCCACTAAATACATTCTTCAAGGGTAATAAATACATTCTCATAAATACTGTAGACATTGCTGAAGAAAGTGGTTAAGATAAAGTAATCTACTGTATAAACAAACAAATAAAAATCATGCTTACTTTTGTCTGATGTTACTGTGCAAGGGCTGGTCATTCTGCAAATGGATTGGTGAGGCTGCCCGCTTTGGTGAAGAAAGGGACTCTCTGGGGATTTGCTTTGGTGATATTGGCACTTCGTTACAGGAGGAAGATTCTCGTCCAGAAAGTGAGACAGAACTATCCAAGGTTGTTGAAGGGTCAGAAGCCTGTCTAATGGCACTGCCATCATCTGCTTTTCTATCATTCTTATCATTTGAGAGGTCTTCTTTATCTGGAACACCATCTTTTTCATGGCTGGAGTACTCTTTGGATTCAGAAATCACACTCTTTGACTCCTTCGTCTCAGTCCTGGACAAATACAGGGAGCCACTGTCCTTGTTTTCATCATTTTGCCTTTCACTTTTCACTCCCTTTCTTTCCATGCTGTCAGGATCTTTCCTTGCCCGTGTATATCTGGATGAGTAGTCAGAATCCAAATCAGAATCAAGAGATAATCCATACTTTTCTGCCAGCTGGCGCCGCCTCTCTGCCTTGTACCTAGCTATTCTTTCTGCTTTTGACTCTAGTTCCTGGACATCCATGCTTCCTGTACTATACAAGGGCTCTGTATTACCTCCTGTGATTTCTGCTCGGTATCTGGATGATCTGGGTTGTTTTTCTACAGAAGAATCTGAAGTTTCCTCCTCTTCATTTGATCTTCCTGTCAAAAGTACAACATATATGAGCAAGTCTATCCCAAAACTCCAAGTACCCTACCCACCATTCACATCGAGTGAACTAAAAGCTTCCCATTTTCTTACAAATCAAAGTGTACTAGTGACTGCACAGACACATTACATTTTTGCACTTATGTCTCCAAAAGCACATACAAATGAATAAGAAATGTGTATTACTTATAATTCTTTAAGAGTCTCATATCAAATTATTGTTGTTTTAAAACAATATGGATAATCAACCTTTTTCAAATAAGACAACTAGAAAATTAAAAGGTAAGTTAAAAAAAAATGCTTACCACAGCTCTTCTATAAAACTCCTCTCCATGTACTGCACAAATGACAGGGTAGTAAACATGAAGAAATTCAGCAATGCAAGATTGACTGATACATACTACTTACCTAAGTGGGGACTGTATGGATCAGTTGCACGCATATATCTTGGTGTATCTTCCTCTAGTAAACGGTGTGTGACTGAGCCTGGACAGTTTTGTAGAAGCATAGGTTGTGTGTCATTTTCAATTCCCTCTAACCGTCTAGCTATTCTCTCTTTTCTGAAAAAGATGCGAAAAATGTGAAATCAGGCATCTTTGAAGATTTGAGGGGAGAGTTTCTAAGAGGAGGTAACAAAACAAGCTGTGTGTTTTGTTTTACAGGCCAAAGACTTTTTTTTTTTTTTTTACCTTTTCATTTCCAAAAAATCTTGGTTGTTTGGTTCAAACAGTTTTCTTAATTCTGAAACTGAGACAACAAAAGATTATACAGTTTATAAACTACTAGGTTTCAGAAACTCACAGAAACTTGCTAAATGCTTTAGAATAAGAAGGAACAAACTTAAGAAGTTTGAAATAGCTTTTATCGGGGAACAAGCATTTTCCTCATTTTCCTAGTTTATTAAGCTTGCGTTATCAAAGGTGCATTAAGCATATAGGTGTAAACACCAAGGTGTCCTCCCCCTCCAGGTACTTCCAGGCTAAGCTAGAATCTGCTATGCCATCCTAGCAGTTCTCTAGATCTAGTACAAACTGGGCAAGTTGTATTTTGATTAGCTGAGGTCAAGCTTACACACTACAGTAACCTGTTTCAAAACCAGGTAGTACGGAATTACTGCTTATCCTGTCTACACAAAGGTTGGGGACTAACTATGTTTAAAGAGAAACAGTGTCTCCTATTCCTTACTTTCCTCCACTCCACTATATTGAGCAAATCCCAAGAATTTCGCTGACTCATGATTGGAGTGAAAATTACCATGTACCTTCATGATATTCTAGTATGGTTAATCACTTTCTACTTTGCTAATTTTCCCTTGTAGTTTTAATTGGACATATTTTCTTTCTCTCCCCTTAAACTGTCTAGTGATTATGTGCTAGTAGGCAGCTGTCACAGTTCACAAAATAGTAGTGAACCAAGAGGAGGCATGATAGATGAAATAATCCATATATATATATATATATATATATATACACACACACACACACATATGTGCAGTTACCAGTGATGTTTGCAAACCACACTGGAGCAGTGAGTGCTACATAAACAAGTGTGGTGTGACTTCTTACCACCAGGAAGAGAAACCATACAGGCTGTCAAAGGATGCAGTGGACTGGGAGAGGTGTGTGTGTGTGTGTGCGCCTAGCACTGCCTGTCATCCCCCCGTCGCCCCCCCCATCATTGCCTTGGCAAAGATGTAGTGCTAAAAGCTGTGTGCGCCTATTCTGATGCAATGCAACTCTAGGGTTCTGATCCTGTTGACCAAGGGATCAAAAGTTAAAGCAAGCTAAAGTCTACAGCCGCTAAATCAGCCCTAGATTGCCATCAGAAATGCCTGATGAGTCAGGAGTGTCTAATAGACACTGTTCCACACCACTGCAGAAGTAAATCTATCAGCTTTTTTCCCTACCAGACCTCATCGCTCTAGATGCTTAGAAGATAAACATTATTGAAACATCACCCTTTTAAAGGTCAGATGTACATTCTCTCCCTTTCCTCTACTGCAAGAGCTTACATGCATAGCTAAGTTAGGGGTTCAGCTTAGCTGACACTATCGAGGAAGTTTGCTGTAGTCAGTATCAGTGCTTATACTTCATAGATACAGACAGAGACTATTGATGTTGGCTGTCTTATCAACCTTACATGCTGAAAAGCCACTAGGACTCCAGGTAAAATGTCTTGGATCAGCAAAAATGAATGTATTTTGATCATGGCTACAAGAGAAGCAAATGAATAAGGTATGAACAGAGCATCTGAGGCTACAGTGGAGTGCCTACTGAGAATGTGCAATTAACAGGGGAAAGAAAGCAACTGGGCCACTCTCCAAAACAACTCATTTAGTCTACATTTTTACAGAAAGCAGACTCAAGCTATCTGCTTCAATTTCTCAAGCCAGGTTAGCTCAGATTGTGATCATGCTATGAAAAAAATCTAATATGTACACATTTGATGCAACTAACAGTGCAGAGTAGCTAAGTATGCAACTACTTAACAGTGCTAACCCAAGGGACACCTCTTCCATGCCTAGTTTCAGCATCTGTGGCAAAGCAGATTGAAGCCTATGCTGTTGACCAGGTTGACAGTGCAAGATAGCCACCGAAAGTCAGCAAGCTCCAGGCACAGCTCTCTGGAGATGGATGGGAACTGGACTTGGGCAATGGAAAATTTGCATCCTGAACCAACACCAAAGCAAAGATGAGCCCTTACATTGTGTTTTCCTAGACTTTTCTCTCAATGCATGAGCAGTTCCTGCTGCTGCCCTGCCTACTCAAGCTGTGCTAGCAGTGGAACTGTATTAAACAGAGAACTTATCCATATGAAACCAACCTTCGTCTAATGTTCACACCAAAGGAAATGATCTCCCATAAATACTTTGCTCTCACCTCTGCCAAATCTACTGCTGTTTCAGTTTGTTCCTCTGACTATTAGAGTTTTTCTGTTCCATCTGTTGGCTATACATACATAAAATGGTCAAAACAAACCCCATAATTGTTCTGCCACTTCAGACAGGTCAAAGGCCTCCACATCTCACAGTTAATAAAACCACATTCCATCCAAATCCTCATCATTTTTTTTTCCCTACTCACCAATTTATACAGTCCCAAAACCCATCATCAGAGAACAGGTCTTTTACACAGCTTTTGTAAAGCTCTAAAGCACAGCTTCATACACTAAAGTCTTTCTCCTCCCTGCCCCCCCCCCCCCCAAAAAAAAAGAAGAAGAAGAAACTTGACTATAAGTCATCCACATACAAGAAATGTGGAACATCCAAAGAACTCCCAGCAACATTAGCTCAACACCCTCTTGCTATGTGTTAGCTGAAGTTCCAGAGATTCTACTACTGCTTTGCAGTCCTAAAAAGAACACTGGCCTCATGATGCATCTCTCCAACACCTTCCCAAACAAGATGGGACAAAAATAGCATGGGACTACTCTATGCTGCCTTACACTTTTTCCACACTTAAGATTCCAGACAGTAGTTTCAGCTAGGTTGGCCAACATCTGCAGAGCTTTTTTGTGAAAGCAGTTTCAGCAATATTCTTCTTCTGGGGAGGTGGGGAAAAGATGCACAAAAAAGAAAAAAAAGAAGATAAAATGCAGGAAGTCATCTACTCTAGTGATTTCTTTTTGCTGAATAAAACATTTGACTTCAACACATTAAAGCCAGTTGGAGAAATTTCACTCCCAAGGACACTGGTTGGCCCTTGCAGGCTTAGGTGATCAGGTTTCTCTTTTTTAGTTTGCAATTTGAATATGTTGGTGCCAATTTCCCATCTGTTCATGGGACGTTTTTCCACATGACCATCAGAAACTACATCATTTCAAAGACACCCATGACAACGTTAAAGAATAACAACACTTCTACCTAAAACGTAGCACAAAGATCTGATTCAGCACACAAGAAAAGACTAAGAAGCCTAAAACAATTAATTTCACAGCAAAAGCTGCTTATCTAAGTTACTTCATGCCAACAGACTTTGTAAGCACTGTTGGTCAGTATATTTAAGGGCAACAGGAAGAACAGCCACATTCAGGAAACAGCTTTATTTTACAATGTTGGGCAGGATGCTATGGTAGGATACCCTCTAAGGTAGGCTGTCAAGAGGCATCTTAATTTTGGTAACTGTAGACCTTCTGAGCAGAATTTACCTTATAATACAAGTATTTATCAAAAGGAGTATTGTTCCATGTCTTGTCCCAGAATAAAAACGAAAAAGTACATTTGGAGTGCACCTTATAAAAATGTTTAACAAATTCCTTAAATTAAGGTGAATGATTTCTTACAGAATTCAGAAATCTTTCAGAAACATTTGTTACAGAATATAAATATGTTTTTGCTGAAAGCCCTCTTTGATAACTGCAGAGGGGATACATGTAGATAAAGTTGCAGGCATGTGACAGTGGTTTTATTTTTAAGATACAGAAGCTGTAAAAACTAAATCAAGCCTTCTAAAAGTCCCTAGTAGGAGTAAGCACATACATTTGTGACGCCTGAACAGACATGGATCAAAAGTTTACCTGCCAGAGGCTTAATTTCTCAAAGATGGTAAATAACCATTGCATCGCAGGTATACAAGTTTTCATTTTGAGGAAAATTTAACACAATAGTGAAGCCTACCAGCCTCGTTCCTACCTCCTCCTCTCCTCACCTGGAAAGATGATGGTCTAAAAACCCGGCTGGAGAAGCATTTATCTACTGTTTATGCTAGCAGATGCATACTAACATGTTCAATGCTTAACTGCAGGCAGTAACGTGTGAGACTTCAGCTAGACTCTTTGAACCTCAGTTAGGTCTGTATCAGTTGAAAATTAAATATATTCCTCTGATTTTCCAACATGTACAAATCTGGATCAAAGTTAGGCCCTAGATTGGAAAAATAACCTGGATTTTCAGAAAGTGTTTGGCGCCAAGTATTCCCCTCAGAATATAAACATATAATACAATGACGTCTTTCTGAACATCTGCAATAATTACATCATAAAAGTAAGCACATCACTTAAATATCACTTAAATGGTATGCTGGAAGAAGGGCTCCTTTCTAAAGGAACTCTGCAACACACGACATTAAAAGAGCAACTCAGTGCCTTTACATTGGGATTAGTGCACCTATTAGCCTTGTAGTTTGTCTGAAAAGGGCAAATACCATCAGAACACACATACAATTTTAATCGAAGTTCTGAGATCCACAACATCCCTGAGTGAAGGGAACATCTTTATGCCAGTTACACGTAGTTCTTCAGTCACATGTCACCCTTTACTGGTCAAGAACTGCTTCCAAGCAGATTGTGATTTCCTCTGAATAATTCAAGAGAATTAATTCTCGGCTATACCTCAACTGTGTCAAAAGGTAAAGATGGAACTGCTGTTTTCTTTGTAAGTTATTCAGGCTAAGACAGAAGTTTAAAAAAAATACAAAAATCCCCAAACCCATATGTAGTGCAGGTTCTTTAGCATGCAAGACTAAAATTCAGTGTGTAGTCAGTTGGTCGTGCAAGCACAGTGATTCTATCGATCACCAATGGGGACTGGAAAGAGCTATGACTACAAGCCAAGTTAATACCCTTGAATTCAGTATTAATCTAACTGTACAAAGAAATCTCACTGAAGTTTTGAATTTCAGCTACTGCTTAACCTATTGAAAACTAGGTAAAAAAAGGTGAATTTTATGAAGCAGAGATGTAACAAAGCCTTGTAAAAGAGTATTGTGGTTCATCCCCTGTTGTCATCCCCTACACATACTTCACAGGGAGAAGAAAACTCATTTACAAAACATCTGTGTCTAAGTGATTTTAACTGTGCCTTGCACTTGCACAGACTAAACTTCACATGCTGTTAAATTACCACTTGTGTTCATAATGTGTCTCCTGTACCTACCTTTTGGAAGTACTGCTAAGAGATTAGCATCAATATCCTTTGTGCTGTTTGCAAGTTCTTCTTTATCTTCAAATGAGAACTCCTTCTGAAAACTGAAAGCAACATCTGGTTTACAGAACTGTGGATGTTTCTGCTACAAATCAAATAAAGCCAAGATGTAACCAATCTACTGCAACAGAGTCTAACAGAGATACCAAAGAAAGCATTTTCCACAAGAATGAAATAAGAAATAACCCCAAGAAACTCACAAAGCCAAACCTAACAATCTGAAACTTGTTTGGAACTGACTGTGACACATTTTTGCATTAAATTACTGACTGGAGACTGCCTTCAAAATGCTCTCCTAGCAATTACATTTGAAATAACCTATATCAAATGATTCTCCATAAATATTAAAACATACTTCATCAAATACTGTATTGTATGGTACACTCCACCTAGAAGTCTTCTGCATGACTGCCCTATTGTTGTTACTGCACTGATCTCTGGATCTTATATGGCTTATAATACACTAATATGAGCAGGAGACCATTTAGTTTCATACATTGTCTTTTCAAAACAGCAAAAATGCCCATTTAGATGAAACAAAATATTTCTTTAAATATGTTCATTAAATATACAAATTTTAATTGTAAAATGTAGGTGTCACAATGGTCTAAAGTAGATAATGTCTACAGAGACTTTTTTTGATGAAGTGTTCCTCCTTGTGGGTAAACAAAGTGACATTTTTCTCTCCAATTACTAAAAATAGAGAACTGCTGTAGTCTGCCATTATGACTTCTAAACTATGCCAACCGGGCATAAGAAAACTTATACTAGTCCTAAAGCCTTTGGTAAACTATGTAGACAGGTGTAACAGATACAAATCCCCACAGTGATACCAGGGTCTTCATTTTGCCATGGTAGTGATGTGCCATACGATTTACTGTCATTATGGTAAGACAAATTGCACAGCCTTAGTGTTGGAAAATCCTTCCTTAGGACAGTTTTTAAATGGCTTTTTAAAGAATTGAATACCCTTTCATCAAGGGTATTTGGTTAGAAAAGAAAAACTGGTAAAAAAAAAATTCTGTACTCACTATTTCAGAAGAACATTGCTCTTTGAAGAGTTTTAACATACAATGACTAATAACATTTTACATGAACTCCAAGAAGTATTTGCTTCTTTATGGTTTATAAATAATATTCCTTTGTAAGACACTGAGGAGAGAATAAAGCCCTTGAAATGACAATAAAGAAACTGGGCTGTGTCACATTCAGGCACCATGCCACCTGCTGCAAATCGTCTCCAACAACTGCACTTACAGAAATTATTCCAGGTACTGCCAAGAAAAGCAGTGTTAGCCACTACAGAAAATAGCAAATAGAAGATGAAAAGCTGCAATAAGCTGTCCATTACAGAAAACTATGTATCTTTACAGGGTGACAACACTTTAATGGAACTAAAAAAACCCCAAATAAAATAAAAAAAATAGCACACAGCAGCCACAGGCAAATGGGTGCGTGTGTCATCTGAGACTGGGCAGAGACTCAGACAGTTAACCGCATGTTTCTATATGCCTAACCCCAGATTGCCAACACTCGTGATTCTTATTAGCCTCACAATATGTTATTTTCTTAGACACAGCTTCTGGAGAACCCCTAGGTGGAGAGATTCCCAGTTTCTACCCCTCTTGGCTGAGGAAGAGTTTGAAAAATGCAATATTGGCCTAAGGCTACAAATCAAACCCCAAATTTATTTTGTCAAATCAATTTGATTACTTAAGATTTGCCTCAAAAGGGACCCAGCTCATGACTTCTTAATACCTGGGCTTTATTTAGCAGCATCTCCAATAGCTTCCATAATGCTTGTGACAATGCAACACCTTAAGTTTCCATAAACATGGGACTTTGTACAGAAAAGCATTCACTCATACAGCAAAATCCTTGTTTAAATTAACTGTGCACTAACATCCATAACTATGCCTCAGTCCCATATGAATTTCCAAGGGTAAAATCATACAGAATCAGGACTGGCACTAACCTGCTGGTTTTAAAAAGAATTGTATTATTGGATTGCTTGCGGATCCTCAACAAACTTTTAAATACTGTAAACTAGTTAGGTTCACTCCTGCCCCTTCCTCCAAACTCCAGGGAGTTCCAGAGACCCTCTAAACCCAGTCTAAATGTCTTTCACTGAATTTCCATCTCTTTGTTCTCATGCCAGTGTTGTTGGTTAGCTTACTTATTTTTCTGAACTGAAGTTTTCAACATCTCCTCAGCTTCCTCGAGACAGTCTCTCAGTTTCATTGATTATCTGTAAAAATGTTCTCTACTTATTCCAGTTTTAAGTCATCTTTTTTGTATATGGTGACCAGAATTGGACAGTCTTGATTCCAGACCTGGGTCTTAGTAGTGCCTTATAAAAATAGGAATTTTAATAGAGGAAGCATTACTATATGACTAGCCAGATGAATGCCAGGATCCACAACACATTTGCCTTTTTATATCTACACTATACTGGTTGGTCAATCCTGCATGAGAAACCAATATGCCAAGGCTTTGCTTTCATCAGTTGCAAGTGACAGAAAAATTTATCAGCCCCCAATGCACAACAGTGCACTTAGTATTATTACATTACATCCTTTTTCTATTACTCCTCAAGGTCATCCAGTTCTTCCTGTATGTGAGCTCCCTCCTCCTTTGTACTGAGGGTGGCTTCCAACCTTTGCTCACTGGCAGATTTCATTAAAATTCTTTTAATAACCACAAACTTCTTAAGCTTAACCCTTGCTGGACTACACAGCATCACAGGTTATCTCCTTTGTGAAAGTCCCTTCACAGTTTCCCTTATGCTTTCATATTCCATTTCCCTCTGGACAGATTGTCAACTTTATTTACTTACTTTTAAATTATTAACTCTTTTCATATAGTGACTATTTTATCCACAATGGAGGAGTTTTTCCTCTTCAGAGGCATTTTTGCTCTCTCTCACAAAGCTGCAGGTGGCATTGCTTGTTTTAAATATTCGCACATTAGAAACACAAAATGTTTTAAACTGATGTATCAATTACACTGCTTTCACTTGCACAGAGAATTCAGAGACAGAGCAAGGCTCTGAAGATGACACAGTCAAGCCAAACAATTGGGTATTTATAGATACATATATAAAATTAGTTCTAAAAATGAAAGCAGGCATATTTAGGACATGTCACAGTATTCAATAAGAACATTCATTAGGAATCTAAATTGAGTTGGAATGATGTTAAAGCAATTTCAAATAGGTGTAAAAAAAAATTACAGGACACTACTCATAAGGGTTTTAAAAAAAATATGCTCGTAAGTAATTCCTCACCAAGACTTCCCCATTTCCTCAAAGGGATCTATCCAAATGTCTCCCTGTTTTATTAGTTTCTCTGCTAAAGGAGCAGTTGCAGCAAGCAGTTGCAGTTGCTTAAGCAGAGTCAGCCAGACTTGGATTGCCAAGTATATTGTACTTTCAAACTCATACACAACCCTGTTCTAGAAGTATCACAACTACATCTACTCACCTTTGCTTTTCTTAATTTCTCAAGGCATGCTATAAATTTAGGTGCAGATTCCGAGCAGCAGCAGCACCAGGAGTTTCTGCACTTAACAGGTAGGCCATGCACATTCATTATTAAAATAATTTAAGACATACGTGGGTTTCTCTAAATGAAAAAAAAAGTTTAGAAGTTTGCAAGAATTCTTTCTTCTTAAAGTCCCTGTTAAACCTGGATACTGAAAGAAGAACTTCTTTGCTTGCCTGAAATATAGCCTGTGATCATGGTTCATTAAATGCAATCAACAGCATGAGGTCCCTCGAGTTTGTTTTGCACACGATTTGTGTGTGGTTTGGCCTCAGGTTCCCAACAAACTCATCATACTCTCCAATGTTCAGGAATTCATATGATTCCTATTAAAACATAGGCAACAATATTTCACAACCTCTATAGTTTTTCTTTAAAACCAATGTATAATGTGGCATTAGTAGAGTATTTGACAGTCTCAGTAGTTACACTGCTCTTGCAACTTCCAAAGTAAGTGTGGGCTGCATCTATACATCAGGGATTCCAGGCTGAAAACTTCATCTGCTGCTGCAGCAGCAGCAGCATACAGTTTCCAAATAGCTGTCCCACTAACCTAGTTACATGCCCAAAATCAAGCAGAAGTTTGATCCAAATGCCACTGGTAGCACTGCCCTGCCACCTGGATTAAAGCTACATGATATCCTGAGATTTTGTGATTGAAATACATGCATGAAAATCCACTTGCATACCTGCCAGCCAGGTGCTTCACATTCATTTCCCTTCTCTTTCTCTAACTCCAGGAGAATTTCCTTCCCTGGACTCTTACGTAAGAAATCCATTCTACAGTCACATCCTTTTCTACTACTCTCATTTCTACTCTCCCCTACCTGCCTTCCATAACACAGTGCGGCTTCTACACCTATTCCCTCCCTCTCTCTCTCTACAATACCTAAGAAACAACATGGCAGGGAATCAGGTGTGCTCCAGAAAGTGTGCGTTGACTGAAAAGATGCTTGGAAATGTGAGGCTGGGTGCCTAAGGCTGGTGGATTCCTGTGCAGCTGAGCCAACAAAACAGCTGGTTGCTGAGGCAAGAGTCAGTTCCCAACTTCCTGAACTCCTCTCTGCACCATTATGAATGAGTCCAGCAAGCACAAAGGTGGACACCAAAAGCAGTCGGAGTGAGGAGGGGAAGTGAGAGGGAATGTGACCTGCCACCTTGCTTAACTGTGAACTGTATCCCCTTACTCAGCCTTGTGGAACCCTGCCCTAAGACTGCAGACACGAGGCAGCATGGCCCTGCAAGGAAGCAGCAACGTCACCTCCCCATTCATCTCTGTGGTGTCCCCCTCCCATGAGCTGGCAAAGCTCTCTGCACAGCTGTATAATTAATTCACCCGCTTCAGCCACCTTCTTTTTCAGACAGATCAGTTTTCCAAGCTGGTTCACTAAATGTCTGTACTATGTCCGTGCCATGCAAAGAAAAATGGGCACTGCAGTGGCAGGAGGCTCAGTGCACAGTGGGACTTTTCCCTTAGCAATGTCAGCTATAATTTTTCACATTACTTAAGAGGCAGTTGGTGTTTTCAATACCTGTTCAGAGCATCTGTTTTATGCCAAAGCTTGGTCCTGCGAGAGGACCAATAATAATTTTCCCTGACAAAAGAATAAACATAGATACAAGCAATGACTGCAAGTTACTATCACGCAACCAGTCATCTTCACTAGGCAAGAAAAACTTGACCTTACCTTAACGCTCTCTTCCTTTGGAGCAATCGGGAAGGTTTAAATCTGACTGAGTTTCCTTTGTCAAAATCTGTGAAATGAAAAAAAACACACCATAGTGAAGATGCTTTAATAAATGGGGTACTTGTAGGAAATCAGTTTATAGTCTCCAGTCATAGCCCTTTTCCACTAGAAAAGACTGCACAAAGGCCTTCCCTCTAGTCAAAGGAGCATAAGCTGGCATGTCCAAGATGGTGATAAACCAAAGCCTTGCAAAATTGAGTACAGACAGTAAACATATCAAAAGCATCAACACTTTATGGAACTGCCATGTCCTAATCCCAGTATTCATGGTGTAGCACTGCAGCCTGGGGCTATCATTTAAACTCCTTGACTCAGTTTCCCAGCTTATAAAATGGGCGGTAGACATGTTCACGAAGCACTCTGGAAATGAGAAATGCTGCAAGCAGCAAGAGCCTTTTTGGCTGCAGCCTAGCAATACTACAAAAACTGCATATTCACTGCAGAAGTCGGAGATGCCCAGCTGAGGATCTGTTGCAACAACAGTATTACACCATCTATGACAGAAATATTTCTAAAGGTTGTTTACTGTTTGGAAGCTCCCATTTTTTTCTGAATAGCCTTAGATCATGCTTACTTTCAGAGAGGAACAGGTGTTTATACTGAGAGCAAAACTGTGTCAGATGCAGCCTTATATTCAAAAAGTATGTATTACAAAGCCACTAGGTTCCCAAACCTTTGTGAACCATAACAAGCAATGGGCAATCTCCCCTCTCCCCACCTAGATTTAACTTTTTCATTTCTGAAGTCAAGAGCATCATCAGAGGATCTAAACGATGACCAGTGGCAAGGGGGACCAGTGCTCCCAAGTACCATCTCCCTCCATTCAGCAATAAGGATGCTATTAAGAGACCTTAAGAAAACTGCTAGCCAGGAAGGAGGGGAGCACCTGGTCCATGACTGCTGCTGAAAAACACATGAAGCTACTATTAATTACTATTAATTTACTCGCAATGGGAAAATTGCCTTCCATCCCCATCTGTATTGTCAACTACCCCAAGACCCTAAATTAATAAACAATTGGTCACTGATGCAGTGTTCATTTTGCAAAGACAGACCTGAATGTTACACAAGCTTAACTTCAGAATGATTCAAAAGCAGCAGCATCCCTTTTACTCTACCCGAGAGCTGAGATTTAACTATTTCAAAGAAGAGCTAACTGGCAAAAAAATATTTTTGCTTATACAAAATAGTTTAAAATCTAGGTAGCCTTTCAAAACTTTTCACCCTCCTCTTCTCTTCGACTTCTTTCAGCCACCTCTCCAGGTAAACAGATTTAAAAAAAAAAAAGTTAAAGAAAAAAAGACCATTTTAACAGTCTGATAAAAAGGCTTAAAATGTGCAAAAAGGCATTTTTTAGGCATCTGCTACAAGTTACTGCAGATTTCAAGCTGCTTTGCTAATAGCATTCTTCAACTTTAATAGGCAACTTTTTCCTGTTTTTGTTAACATTCATTTTCTCTTTCCAAGTAAATGGAGAGTAAAACACACAGATTACACTGAAACGTCTTGTTAGACCAAAACAGAGTATTATAAGAAAAACAGTATGAATAGTATATAAATCATTATATTTTACACTACAACATTAAAAAGAATACTCCATGCCATAAGTACCCTCTAAAAAGGCCAGATTACGTTACTGTGAGAAGAGTATGCAGTAACTTAAAAAGCCCAGCTCAGTATCAGCTTAGCTAATCAGAACCAGGCATATCTTAAATTTATAGCTGTTCTAACAGGATATAACCCATCCAATAGTTTTTGGCACTAAAACAGCTGTCCACCATGAAAACCACAAACAGACCACAGAGAAATTCTCCCCACCCTAGCCAAAACTGGAGAGGGGACATGAGAAGGAAAGAAAGTAGCTTTCATGGCTTCACTGGGAGAAGGGAGGGAGAAGTGCTGCTAAGAGGGTGTACACAAGCCAGTCCAACTCTTGCTACGTATGAAACACATTCAGTAACATTCATACATACCACATCTATAATACCTCAAAAACATCTTAGAGCTGCTGTATTTCACAGGGGCAAGCTCCTCTCCCCCCCCCCCCCCACCCAGAAACCCAACTAGACAATTATATTCTGTTACACAGTTTTGATATTTTATGTATTTCCTCCTGTTCAAAGTAAACCCCATGTGGGAGGGATTAAAGTCCAATAAAACTTACTTACTACAATATGGAAGTCTTAAAATTAAATACAAACACAGGAGAAAAAGTAAAACAACTCTGCTTCAGAAGAAAATAAACATGTCCCCAGAAGAAACGTCAGTTTAACACAGTCTTAATGCAATGGTTAATTTAAAGAAGAAAACCCACCCTCACAATACCTGATACACAGAAGGAAAATCTTTGCAACAGCATTTTGTTCCTTCTTTCACTGAAGAATTCTAAACATGCTCGTAACCACATTAAAACAATTTTAAATATTTGTATTTAAAATTAAGAGTATATTTACTGAAGTATAAATCAAGCTTGCTCACAAGTTTAACCATTTGTTCAGTCTAGTCCCCTCCCTCTTAGGCACAAACTACCAGATAAAACCACTATCCATAATTTAATACATAGGAAATTAAAAATGCTGAATTAAAAAAAAAAAGTACATGCAACCTTCCAGTGTTACTTAGTATATTTAAAGGCCCTAAGTCGGTGGCAAGCTAAGCTAATTAAAAGATCCATCTAATCGGATCTTTCAAAAGTGTCCTTTAGAAGATAATGAAATAGCCTAGGTGACTAACTGCATACTGATTGCTAAAGTAGCTAAACGTAGCTGCAGAATATCCAGTCAAACAATATTTACACATGCATACATATATACGAGAGAGATTAAACACACACAAATGAACTGTGTTTTCTTCTATCTACTTGGAACTCTTACCTTGCTCCTCGGAGTATTTAACATTTCCCAAATAGCTGGAGATCCAAGGATTTCTGAACATGGTTGCACAAACAAAGGATTCAGCAAAGAGAAACTACAATAGCAGCTAATTCTCAACCAGCCACAGCCCTAGGCCTGTCTTAGTAATATCGTGTAGAGATTTTTCATAGCACAGGACTGGAGCTGTCAGGCTATCGCGTCCCAGGGAGTACAGTAAATGCATAGCAATAGGCTGCAAGCTGGAGCAGCTCAAGCCAGTAATCAGATTACAAACAGAAATTAGGCACATGAATGCTAAAACAGATTGGGCAATTGTGATTGGGAGATTTACAATATTACCACTTCAAAGATCCAGCCAAATCACACATTATATTCCTGCAAAATGAATGCAGAACCCCTAGATCTTCATATTAAAAAAAAAAAACCCCAAACCAAACAGCCTCCAAGAACAGGAATAATTCCTTCATATCTCTAATCAGGATAAACTGCAATGCTTGCTTAAGAAAAAAAGCATCCAGGCTGCCAAAAAAATGGACTCTGTTAATCATATCATTATGCTAAATATTTTGCCTAACTATTAGTTGGAACATTTAAAACAGACAAGATTTATGGATAACATATGAGCAAAATTACTGGTGGGGGTGGGGATTTAAGAACAGACACCATAGCTCCAAATATTTTAATTTGAGACAGAAGGTGTAAAATTGTACAAAAGTACTGTCTAGCTACCATATTTTTTTATTAAACAGATCTGATGGATTTTGGATTGAAGACTCAGAACCCTTTATAGTTCATTTTGAAAGTCTGGACATATTTGTTCGAAATAGTGTAATAACCCTTGCTCAATCTTCCACACTGAACTACCTGATTGTCTAACACACGCACACAAAGAAGCATTAAATATGTGACTAAAACAGGTCCATGCACTTAACCCCATCCAGCCAAAGGCAGTAACTGCTTACTAGCTTCCCTCTAACAGACTTCTTCCCTTCAAAAAGATTTCAACTATTATCAGTAGAAAACTTACCACCAGGCTGGGGTTGTCAGGACCATGAAAAGATAGCCTAGAAACACAAGGCTGAAGTTCTTGACTTTTCTTACCTGTTCTTATGATATCTGGTACAACCCTGATCCATGCTGGGAACCTCTATGTACAGGCAAAATATAAGCAACGATGCTGTGAAAGAGACTGCTTAACCACAATTGCAAAATATAGTCTATCAAAAACCTATTAATTTCTGTTGGCTCACCATGAAGTTGTATTTAGCCTAGGTCATCAAAACACTGTTTTTCATGCTAACAAGTTCTTGCAATGGATAGAAGAACATGCACTCCATCTTGTCTAATGCCCCTACTATTTGTATTCATTTATTTATTTTTAAACATTAATAATGTTCGAGTCACCTTATCCAAAGCACCTTTTATTAGCTGATCTTTCAACAGTCCAGAGCTCCCTGGAACTAGAGTCACCCAACACAATGAATGTGACATTGAAGCCTCTGACCCATCAAGTAACATCCTCTGTTCAGAAATACTTGATGGTACGTACCACATTTTTTTCTTTGCCTGTAATCTTACCGGCTCTCACATTTCATTCTAACCACTTCACAGCACTACCCATAGAACACAAATCGAACACTGCTGTGGTCTCTTGACCAGCTGCAAAGGCCTACGTCTACTTGACCCTAGCACATACAAAAGTAGTAACAAAAAAATGTAATGTCAACATGGGTCCAAACTTGCCATTAACCTGAAAATCCACTTTATGGCCTACACATAAGTGCAGGTGTGCTTAAAACACAAAAACAAGACAGTGCAGAAATTAACAAAGAAGCTGCTGGTAACAGCTAACGGAGACATTCTGGACCAGTGTCTTGTGTGGGTATACCAATAAAAAAGATGCCCAGTTCTGACAATGTCTCTTCTTTCTGAACCCTGCTTGTGTAAAGGCTGCTTACTTGATCTTGTGAATACAGACATTATTACCTGGAGTATTTTTAAGCACCTGTAACTCATCTAGTACACAGTATGGGAACTGTTTCTCATAAAGCACAGATAAATAACACTCATTTGATAAATCTGATGGATGCAGTCTTTAGCAAGGTTGAAGGAGAAGTTAGACTTGACAGC